AAAGCAATCAGTAATCATGACACATAATTTCCTGTGTCCCTGACACATGTGTTCAATCAGAGATAGTAGGAACTGCAGATGCTGGAGAATCCGAGACAACAAGGTGCAGGGCTGGATGAACACAGCAGGCCAAGCAGCATCATAGGAGCAGAAAGGCTGACGTTTCGGGCCTAGACCCTTCATCAGAAAAGGGGGAGGGGAAGGGCATTCTGAAATAAATAGGGAGAGAGTGGGAGGCGGATAGAAGATGGATAGAGGAGAGGATAGGTGGAGAGGAAACATACAAGTCGAAGAGGCGGGGATGGAGCCAGTAAAGGTGAGTGTAGGTGGGGTTAGGGAAGGGATAGGTCAGTCCAGGGAGGACGGACAGGTCAAGGGGGCGGGATGAGGTTAGTCGGTAGGAGATGGGGGTGCGGCTTGAGGTGGGAGGAGGGGATAGGTGGGAGGAAGAACAGGTTAGGGAGGCGGGCACGAGCTGGACTGGTTTTGGGATGCAGTAGGGGGAGGGGAGATTTTGAAGCTTGTGAAATCCACATTGATACCATTGGGCTGCAGGGTTCCCAAGTGGAATATGAGTTGCTGTTCCTGCAACCTTTGGGTGGCATCGTTGTGGCACTGCAGGAGGCCCAGGATGGACATGTCGTCTGAGGAATGGGAGGGGGAGTTGAAATGGTTTGCGACTGGGAGGTGCAGTTGTTTATTGCGAACCGAGCGTAGGTGTTCTGCAAAGTGGTCCCCGAGCCTCCGCTTGGTTTCCCCGATGTAGAGGAAGCCACACCAGGTACAGCGGATGCAGTATACCACATTGGCAGATGTGCAGGTGAACATCTGCTTGATGTGGAAAGTCTTCTTGGGGCTTGGGATGGGGGTGAGGGAGGAGGTATGGGGGCAAGTGTAGCACTTCCTGCGGTTGCAGGGAAAAATGCCGGGTGTGGTGGAGCTGGAGGGGAGTGTGGAGCGGACAAGGGAGTCAAGGAGAGAGTGGTCCCTCCGGAAAGCAAATAAGGGTGGGGAGGGAAAGATGTCTTTGGTGGTGGGGTCGGATTGCAGATGGCGGAAGTGTCAGAGGATGATGCGTTGGATCCGGAGGTTGGTGGGGTGGAACATGAGGATGAGGGAGATTCTTTTTTGCTTCTTATTGCGTGGACGGGGTGTGGGGGATGAGTTGCGGGAGATGTGGGAGACACGGTTGAGGGCGTTCTCGACCACTGAGGGGGGGAAGTTACGGTCCTTGAAAAACGAGGACAACTGAGATGTATGGGAGTGGAATGCCTCATCCTGGGAGCAGATGCAATGGAGGCGAAGGAATTGGGAATAGGGGATAGCATTTTTGCGGGAAGGTGGGTGGGAGGAGGAGTATTCTAGGTAGCTGTGGGAGTCGGTGGGCTTGAAATGAATATCGGTTTCTAGGTGGTTGCCCGATATGGAGACAGAGAGGTCCAGGAAGGGGAGAGATGTATTAGAGATGGTCCAGGTAAACTTAAGTTTGGGGTGGAAGGTGTTGATGAACTGTTCGAGCTCCTCGTGGGAGCACGAGGTGGCGCCGATACAGTCATCAATGTAACGGAGGAAGAGGTGGGGTTTAGGGCCGGTGTAGGTACGGAAGAGGGATTGTTCCACGTAACCTACAAAGAAGCAGGCGTAGCTTGGGCCCATGCGGGTACCCATGGCCACCCCTTTTGTCTGTAGGAAGTGTTCAATCACTTGCTTTTGGAGAAAGACAATGAATTGAAACAGAGGTAAAAGTAAGTTTTCCAAAAGAAGACATAACCTGGGATATCCAAGCCATTCCATGAAACTTATTGAAATGTTGATAACTGGAGCTGAGTGATTTTCTGGAGTGTTGAAACTGGCACTAAAAGCCATCAGCTGTTTGCTCACTGTCTAGACAGTTTTTTTTTGGTGCATCATTTACATCATTGCTAACTCTTACAATGTTCCCAAAAGTCTTTGGCTGCTGACGGAGCGTCGGTGAGCGTTAGCAGATTATGTTTGGAAAACCATAGATCATTTACATGAGCATCATGGACCCCCAAGATTATGTTCTCCTACTTGGAGCTTCGAAGTTACAATCCCTGAGCAAGGATCATTGATTCTGCCAGAATGTCTACCCAGATAGGCTGTACAAAGGGATTTTAGGTCAATCCCACTCAAAAGTCAGTAAATGAGGTTTTGCATAACAACTACCCTGTTGTGTAAGGACTTCAGGACCCTGGAGCAACCTTGTGATGATGTTACAGAACTTCTCCTCTCTGAGTATAAATAGCACAGTGTGGTCAGAGTTAATTAAATGAGATGGGTTAATGAGGTTAGTTAGAGTATGCGTGCGCGCTTGTTAGTGTGTGTTACTGTGTGTGTGTGTGTGTGTGTGTGTGTGTGTGTATATGTCTATGTGTTTATGTGTGAGAGAGAGAGTAACAGAGAAACATGTGCTAAAAGAAGTGGAGTACAATGATTAGTCTTAAACAGTATATCTAACTGAACAGTCTATCAGTATTAGGAAGATAGGAACAGGAGTAGGTCCAGGGACAGGATAGTGTGTGTAAGCTTACATTTGGGACTTCAAGCAGATCACTTTGAAAGGAGATTGAGTCATGGGTAAACTGAGATAACAAGGTGTAGAGCTGGATGAACACAGCAGGCCAAGCAGCATCAGAGGAGCAGGAAGGCTGACGTCTTGGGCCTAGACCCTTCTTCAGACCCTCCTTCATATTTTTCCGAAGAAGGGTCTAGGCCCGAAATGTCAGCCTTCCTGCTCCTCTGATG